AACAGATTTACAACAAGACACTAACTTAAATAGAACTTTCAGTAGCACAGACAACGGTTTAATGTTTTTTTTTAAATAGCGTAGCTTTGTTTACAAACAAGTGTTTTTTTGCAAAAAAGTGGTGGAGTAGCTTGACCAATTCGTAAATTGCTAAAAGAATGTGACAAAATAGACCCGCTCACTTTTAAATGTAGCAGGAAAGTCAGAATTAGTGAATCAGATTATTTGGTTCCAAAAATGATTCACCAATTCAAGTAGCTTGACCAAATGGTATGATGCTAAAAAAAGTGACAAAATATACCCTCTCTTTCGTAAACATAGCAGGAAAGTTAGATTCAGTTAAGTGAATCAGTTTGCTTGGTCAAAAAAATTATAATAATTCACCGATTTGAGTGGCTTGACCAAACGGTACGTTGTTCAAAAATGTGACAAAATCGAACTTTTCTCTCTTAACAAAGCAGAGAAAGTCTGATTCAGTTTAGTGTGCGGGCCTTTTTTTTTTTTTTGGCAAATTAACACCAAAAAAAAAAAAACACACATCACATCACGAGAAAACATATATCTCAGATGAATCTGTGACCACTTCCAGTAAGTCCACAAACTATGACAGCAATGGACAGAAACCTATAGCAATATGAATCAAATATTTACTGGAAGACCATGAGGTTAGTGTGACATTTAAAGATTACCCGAACAATTCCAGGACCAGTTGTTAATCTCAACCACTTCACAGAGAGAAGCCACTAATTTTTAACTAACTAAAGCTTCATTCCTCTTGAGCGAAAAGGTCAGATACTTAATAAAATGTCATCTCACTTAAAAATCCCCTCAGGATGAGTTTCAACCTGACAGGCGGATGAACAAACAGAACATTTTGTCCAACTAATCACTACGTCTAAATTACTACACGAAGGATGAGCTTGAAAACTTCAAATGTTTACATGGGTTGCCATGGGTGCAAACTACCAGAGACATTCCAGTCTTTTCACTACTAGTTGGGTGTTTGAGGCAGAGAGGTAACTGCTAATAACAGCTCTGACGCAAATTTGCCAACACTCACGCAGCAACAACGAAGTCATCGAGCCACTCCTTTGAGTTATGCCTTTTCTCTTTCTTGACACGGAGGCTGGTCTTCTAGAGTGCATAGACAAAGGTGCGTGCATACGCCTGCATGTATACGCATGTGTCTTCAGACTCAGCCCCTTTTCACTTTGTGGTATCTGCGCAAATGCATGGGCGATTCCGAGTGTGCCCACGTAATGATGTCACTTCTACCTCAAGAATACGGGTGGGCGCGCAACTGATCTCATTTGGACCTTGTCTGGGTGCATGTGGGCGGGCGGCTTATTCTCACTGGTGTGGATGGGAGTGTAATGTGGGCATAGTCGAGGCCAGACAGGGACAGCGAGAGGGGGAGGGGAAGTTTATGCTTTTTTTGCAATTCAGACACATGCTATTAACTGTCACACACTTTGAAATGGTTAAACATGGAAAATCCATTCTAGAATGAGTTGTGTACAAATTAACTGCATCAAAAATGCAAAAACAATCTAATAAGCATGAAACAGATTTACAGCAAGACATTAACTTAACTAGAATTTTCAGAAGCATAGACCAGTGTTTCCCAACCTTTTTTTAGTCGCGGCACCCTTTGGAAATTTTAACAAATTTGTGGCACCCTACAAAATTAATTTTGTCACAATATCACACAGTAGGGCTATTAAGAGATTTTTTTTACGAATTATCCAAATAACGTTTAATCCTAGAAAGCTATTATCATCAGAGGACACGTGAGCATAACGGTTAGCAGAGCAATGAATGAGAGGGCAGTGTTACCAGAGTTGCCCATTTACCACACCTTGTTACAACACAGTAGGGCTATTGCAGACAGAAACAATACTGTACTACATCGATGTTTCCTGTCAGCTTGATTTTTGAGTGGACTTTGCTGTTCCGATGAGCATGAACGGTATATGAGTGGAGCGCTCATAGAGCGGGATAATATGCAGAGCGTCACACCACGTGAAAGTGAAACCTGAGCTGTGAACTAATTTTCGGCAGCCAATTTCAGTGCATCTCTAATTATTGGCGACATCAGAAATGGATATTATATAATAGCTGCTTTTTTGAACATTTTAGCAATTTTTAAATATTAAAAAATGATTTTTTACGCGGCACCCCGGTTGGGAAACACTGGCCTAGACAACAGTTCAACTGTTTTTTAAAATAGCGTAGCTTTGTTTACAAACAAGTGTTGGAGTAGCTTGACCAATTCGTAAATTGCTAAAAGAATGTGACAAAATAGACCCTCTCTCTTTTAAATATAGCAGGAAAGTCAGAATTAGTGAATCAGTTTATTTGATTCCAAAAATGATTCACCAATTCAAGTAGCTTGACCAAATGGTATGATGCTAAAAAAAAGTGACAAAACATACCCTCTCTTTCTTAAACGTAGCAGGAAAGTTGCATTCGAACATGCAACAATATATAATCTTTCTCTCTTAACAAAGCAGAGAAAGTCAGATTCAGTTTAGCAAATCAGTTTGTTTGTATAAATGGAAAAATGATTCACCAATTCAAGTAGCTTGACCAAACGGTACGCTGCTAAAAAAAAAAAAGTGACATGCGATCTCTCTTAACGAAGCAGGGAAAGTAGATTCAGTTTAGTTTGTTGAAATAAAATAAAAAAATTATTTACCAATTTGAAAAAGTGGTACATTGTTGAAAAATCTTACAAAACATACATTATCTCTGTTAAAAGTAGAAAGTTCAGTGAATCCATTTGTTCAGTTCAGTTCTTACATTTGCGGGTGGGTTTTCAGCTCTATAAAGAAAATAAAATGATTGACTAAATTTCAATAATTCATTTGATAAATTATAATATGGTTAATAGGAATTAGAATGGTTGCATACCATTTAGAATTATGGCAACTTTAATCAGCATGACATGAGGCATCACATTTACACCCATACAGAATTAATTTACATGGAACAAAACTCCAAATTGCAGCTAGAACCTGCTTAAATTATCTGGATTTGCGGAATAGAAAGTGCTGTTTGGTTGCACTGCTTGTTGAACTTGCAGATGTCTTTTTTTCAAACAATGGGTGAGTAATTCACTCCATTATTGTATGTTGCTTCACATAAAAAAAAGTCTACTGCAAAAGACTGTGTTGATAAATATGCTTATAGTACATTCTCAACATGATTTCTGCTGAGTTCAGTGCTCGTGCCATTCGCTAAATATGGCTGCCAAAATAAATATGCACCACTTACGTGCCGCAGATGCAGTTTCTATTAAAGTTAGTTAACATCCTTGGTAAATGTTCAAAATATTTTCTCAAATATTGCATTTCATTGCTTGTTTTAACTACTTTCTTGTTGTATTTGCTGCAAACATATAAGTTTAGTGCTGTAACCCAAATTGAGATCTTCTTTGTTTTTTGTCAGATAAATACTGCTCTGATTACAGAAACTAGTTATTTTTAGTAGCTTGTAGCATTATTGACTAAAGTAACTACACTAGCATTTGTTAGGTTACAAAAGACTTCAATTCCAAATAAATGCTTTTTTCCCCTTTCTATGCATCAAAGAATCCAGAAAAAATGCATCAGTTTCCACAAAAATATTAAGAATCAGAACTGTTATCAACATATTAATAACAATAAAGGTTCCTTGAGCACCAAATCAGCATATTTAAATGATTTCTGAAGCATCATAGAAATTAACGAGTAATGGCTGCTGAAAACTCTGCTTTGCCATCACAGGAATTAACACTCATTTTAAATTGTATTAATATTTCACAATATTACGGTTTTTACTATTTTGATCAAATAAATGCTGCCTTGGTGAGAAGACACTTTCAATAACATAAAAAATTTTTAAAAAAGTATCTTACTGACCCCAAAACCACACTCTCTGGTGCTGCTGTTTATTCACATGACTAGTGTGGGAACATGACGTAAAAGTGAGGTAAAACATGATTATTTAGTGAGTAACAATGCAAATTAGGGGGAATTGGAAGACAATTGGTAATTTGCCACTGTCTGATAATGATGAAGGACTCATTTCTCCTTAGATGTAGAGTGGGTAGAAACCACTGATTTTCCAAAGTGGTCGCACATCTGTGCCCATATGCGGAGTGAAACCAGGGCAGAGGTGAATCAGGCACCAGCCCAGCCCAGCCCATAAGCATTGATGTGGGATGTTAGAAGTTTCCAGTAGATCTAACAACTGGACAATGATCAAATGTGTCACTAGAGAGCCATGAATGGACAGCTGCCATAGAGCACAAAGGCCTCTTCAGCAAACTACATCAATATGTGTGCAGCTAAGTATAGGGCAGACTGATCACGGATATGCAGGTTAAGGAAAAATAATGACCGTGGGCCGGCTAAATATGGATTTAAGGTGTGATCGAGGGAGTGGGCTTGAGAACATTAGTCCTTTGTAACTTCTCTAGGCTGAACTTTGGCCTTTCCCCTACACCATGACATGCAATCCTGATGGAGCTACCCCGCATGCTCCTGCAAAGCCCTCCCACACAGTTCAGTATGCTGACAGGCAGCTATGCAAACAAAAAGCCACTGGACCCACCCAGTGTCAATCCTGCCTCCTACAACACGCATATTGGCATATTGGTGTTAGCGCCGCAGCGCACATTAATAACAAAATGACTCGATAAATTGCATTGGAAGCGTCAGACAGATTATTTGGAGTTCAGGTTGGAGTAATCATGAAGCAATTTTACTCACCTCAGTTTTAATTCTCTTGGGTGACGGCTCATCTCGGTCACCGCATCGAGATCTGTAGGAAAGAAAATGAAATGCTCAGCCCTGAACAAGCTGAGTAAAACTACAAGCAATGAAACATTCTTTTACAAAAAATGTGTCCTGACCAAATATAAATAAATATATTATATAAATAATTTTATATTAAAATTTATATAAAATAAAACGTCTAAAAAATTTCTTTTTAATTCAACATGCATTATCATCAAGTAAAATGTTTTTTCACTTTTCCAGCAAGGATGCTTTAAATGAACAAGAATGACAGTGAAATATATATATATATATAAAATGTTAAAATTTATATTTCAGATAATTGCTGTTCTTTTGAACTTTCTATTTATCAAAGAATCCTGAAAAAATGTAGCATGGTTTCCACAAAAATATCAAGGAGCACAACTCTTTTCGACTTTAATTATATTAAGAGCATCAAATCAGCATATTAAAATGATTTCTAAAAGATCACTAAAGACTGGAGTAAGGGCTTCTGAAAATTCAGCTTTGACACCACAGAAACAAATTATATATTAAAATGCATTAAAACAGAAAACAGGTATTTTTAAATTGAAATAATATTTCACAGCATTACTGTTTTGCTATATTTTTATTCAAATAAATGCAACTTTGGTGAGACTTATTTAAAAAAAAACAAAAAATAATAATAAATAAATAAAAATACTCACGACCCCAAACTTTTGAATGGTAGTGTACAGTAGTTAATTAGACTTTGTATGTATATCTCTAGGAGAACATAGTCTGCCATCATTGAGATGTTATTACAATTAATTTCCCTAAATGTTGAGATATACATACACACACACATATATCTATCTATATCTATCTATCTATATATATATATATATATATAATACATTTTTTTAATTCTTACAAAGAATATCTTAAAGCAAGGATTTTCTACCTTGACAAACCCTGAGACCCCCCAAATCAGACAGCCCCACCAGGGACACTTTACACATCAACCAGCATTATTATATTATACAATCCTCAGATCATTCGTTATGCTTATTAACTAATGTTGGAAAGTTGGAAATAGTTTTATGATGTTTTATTATCTTCTGCACAGACCCCCTTCAGTAATTTCATGGACCCCTCCTTGAAAACCCTGGCCTTAAAGTACTAATATTTGCTTTAGTAATACTAGCTTTTCACCTGCAACCTAATTTGGGAGTGCCCTTGGCAAATTTCATTATGACGCAAGAGGCATTGTAAGAAAACCTGGCCTAGATAACTTTCGCAATACCCAGTCCATGACTGTGACGCAATCTTTCAAGTTTTGAATGAGTGACTGCAATTATGTAACGCCAAAAGGAATTTTCCATTCACTGACACGCAAGCCTGGCAATCCAGGAAACACCTGCACGGGCTCTTTGGATGGCAGGTATTGAGTGTCTGATAAGGCTTATGTGCCTTTAGATGCAAAGGAGTGGGAGTGTTCTCATCTCTCCGTAGACCTCAGTGCAGCACTTCACACCTCAACACAAATGCCACGCACAAAGCCGACTTTGAAATCTCGGCTCGGCTCGAAGCAGACTACCAGAGAGCAGATGCTGAGCTGCTCACAATGCATCAGCATGAGCTATCTCTTTCTTGGCTTAAAGGCTAAACATCAGGAATGATTACTCTAGTCACTTACGGGATGTAAAAAGTGATGCTTGTAGAGAATTTAAATCCACTAAATCAAACAAACAACTCCTCTACATTGTGAGTTTTTCATATTAAATAGGCAGAATGTCCAGGATATTTTGTGTTTATCAGGATTTTACGCACTGATTTAGAGGGGAAATCTTCTGAATTTTATGATTTAAACAATGCTAAAATGTTTTAAACAGAGATTGTAACACTCGTATTGAGGGTCTGCATCTGTGGGCCTTTACAGTGTTACAGAGACACAGTGTTAATACTTTTAGGGAAATTTTTCTGTGTATAATGAGCTGGGATAGGGGAAATTATTTTAAAACTGATAAAATTGCATGCTTCAGTTTTAACCAAAGGTTCAAAAATAGTCGATCATGGCGTTTCCTGTTTGGGAAATGACCTCAAAGTTCTTACTTGCTGGTTCTGTAGGTGTATTTGTAGGTGACCTCTCGGGAGACCTGACGGGCCAGTCCGAAAAGCTCATCTCTGCGAGTCAGCAATGCCACCTCCTTCATACAAAGCTGTGCTGCAGCCTCATTCACCGTCAGCTTTGTAGAAACGAAGGAGATTTTTATTATCAATTTGATAATAATAGATATTGTTATGTGCAAAGAATTAAACCAGTCTCACAAGCAAGCAACACCTCTGCTTAAACAGACCAGCATGATATTTCAGGTGCAGCCAATTAACCAATAAAGCACACCCATCCCAAATACACAACATAATTTCTTACTGAATGTGCAGCTATGCTTAGAAGTGCATGATTTATTTAAACCCCAAAAAGCACTCAAAGAGGCAAGAGCCCCATAAAACGCACCTCGTGCAGAGTCAGATGCTTCCCGTCCTTCCTTTTTGAGTCGAATCTGCCATATATAGCACTATACTTGCGGATTTCCTCTTCCCTGTGTGGATCCTCATCACTCATATCAAAAATGTGGCTGATCATCTTTGCAAGCTTCTTATTTCCCTTCAACAGTTCTTTAACCTCTCCAGAGTCACTCTTGGGCAAAGCCTGAGCGATTCTGTCCACGCACTCTGCCACGGACTGAACAGCAGCTATGTCTAGTGCCTCTAGGGCATCCCGAGGGGAAGATGGAGAGCCCAGTTCTACCGGGGACAGGCTGTGCTCGCTCTCCGTGCCGTGACTGGCCCAAAAACGTGGCTCGCTGCCACTCTGGAGGGGCGAAACGGTGGCCGAAGAGTTCCCGTTGCCTGAGTCTCCTTTTCCAGGATCCACGCAAGCAGCTGCCAAACACTTGGGCACTTTGACTTGGGTGTCTCCACGGGCGCCATTACCAGGCAACAATGTGGGTGACCCTTCGGGCAGCTTGTAGACAGGAATGCTGCAGACGGGAAGAGACGTGAGGGGCTGATTGAACAGGGCAGGGTTTGTGACCCAATCGCGTAGAGATTTCTGTAGGCGTCTGACATGCAGTGGCTTGCTGGCCATGCCTACGAGCGCCATTATCTCGAGAAACTCGTCCTCGCCGGCCTCGCAGAGCTGCTGAACATCATCGCCACCCTGCTGGATGAAGGCGTCATAGTAGCACAGCAGGTTGGCCCTCTGAAGAATGCGGTAGAGCTGCAACTCCCCAAGGGTTCTGGGTAAAGTCGCTGCCATACCTGAACAAAAGAAGGAACAAAGTAAGCAATTCCAGAAAACAAAGCAAAAGAGCTGGAAGGAGAGGACACTGGTTGCCACAGCAGGGGTGGAAGAGAAATGTGTGGCTGGATCCAAGAGTGGCGACTATAAGAGAGCGCCTGTCAGGCTCCTGGGCTGCTGGGAGAGTCACATACCACACTCCACCTCTGCAACACGCGTAGGTGGGCTCTCTCAGCACAGGCCTCATTTGTTTCTGCCGGAATCTGGCTTGAACAGCTGCCACTGTCAGGATCTGGATCCGCAGCAGCACCGATAAAAGCGAGATTGACTGCAGGGGAGGGAGGTGGGGTAATGGAGCCGTGTGGGAGTGGGACGGTAGGTTTGCATGCTAAGAAGATAGCGCTCTGCATTTTACTTTAATTCACCCACTTCTTCCTTAAAAGGATCCAGAGATTATGAATGTACGACATACACGAGTGCACACATAATGCTCTCTGCAAACTTTGTCAGAGACTGTAATGAGAGCTAATTCGCTTATTTGTCGGTTTTAGAAATGATATGCAAACTATGAAAGTCAGAAATCTCAAAGATTTGGGGGGGAAAATGTATTATTTTTAATCTGCATTTGCAAATCGCCACTCATTTGTGGATCAGATGCATTAATAGGGATGATTTGCAAATGCAGATACAATGCACATGAATAATCATACAAGACTTTGTGAACACAATTGTGTACTTATGAATGATGTTTAGCATGTTTGATTGATATTATGTGCATGTGAATTAGATTACGGATTTGTCATATTTTGTGAATTTGTTTATTAATTTGTCACTGTAAAAATGAAAAGATCAAGGCACAATTTAGAGGTTCCTCAGAGCACCACACTGACAAAACACTTTGGAGAACCACAGAGGAACTTACAAAAGGATCCAATAAGTTCCTACAAGAACTCTAAAGACTGTCAATGACTCCTTTCCCCATCACAGGGGAACAGCATTGAGACACTTAAATTATATATTGAACTTCCTTGAGTACACAACAGGATAATTGAGGCACGTTCAAAATGATGCCTAGAGGTTCTCCAGAGGGTTCCTCTAGTGTGGCAGTCTGAGGATCTCCAAACAAGCCTTTTCATTTTTACAGTGGTGAATCATATATTTTGTGAATAAGAATTAGGTTACTCATTTGTGAATCACATTTTGTGAATATATTCTTTCGGAGACTATTCTGACCCCTAGAGATATGTCAAGAAATATCTAGTGTCTTACCGTCATCAGAAAACAGTATTATACATTAAAATACACCAACTACTACTCCTCCCTGCAATTAAAAAAAAAGACATTACTCTGCCTTTATATCATATCCTGTTAACCTTAATTTCACAACAAACTTGCACTGACATATATATCTGCATTTGCCGTTTTCTCTGTCTGCTATAAAGTAATGTGGGCAGTATAAAGACATAAAATCTTCAGACAGACACTGCTTTCAGAGAACAACATTCCTATAACAGCAAAAATGCATGTCCAAAATTTGCAGAACTTTAAAGGCATTTCTATAATACACTCATATACTTTAGGATAAAATGAAAAAAAATAAAAAAAATAAAAGGAAACAAAATAAACCTTTAAAAAAATAAGAAAATTAAAAAATATATAAAATACTTCAAAAGATAAAATAATAAAACAACCACTTTTTAAACAATGCCAATGTGAATGCCAGACCTCAATTATTATTCTTTCAATGGTGGTAAAAGATGACAGATGCTGCTAAATCATCATGACTGTTAGTGTACTAGAGGGGAGTAAGAACAGTATCACAGCGAGGCTGATACGGAGTACTGATGAGTGAGTGTATGGAGTCTAATGAGGACACCCCACTGCACAGCAGAGTGATCCGCCACTCTAATGGATGACTGAGGCCTAGACCCAAGTGAAGGGTGCCTTGTTGAAACCAATTCAGTATCAGCATGGATGGCACTTAGGCAGCAATTTATCCAAAGCTCTCTCTCCCCACAGCATGCTGGCTTCCTAATGCTGGAGATCTAAGGCCAGGGCTTCACGCAACACGCTGAGAGCACTCACAGAACGTACTCGTGTTGACTTACAGTTGAGGAATACAACAAGCGATGTATCATAAGATGGCAATAAACACGAGAAGTGCCCGTTATACAAGGTTTCAGACATCGATCAAAATAGCAAAAAGCTAGGACAGGAGGATAATAAGAGAACAGAAAAAGTGAAGGCGTAGATTTTTTAAAAAGTAATATTATTGGAGGCAGTTAGTTGTTCACATTAGAGATGAGTTTGTACATAAGCAGTAGGATATTTCTTAAAGGAATAGTTCACACAAAAAAGAAAGAGCACTCACAGAACGTACTCGTGTTGCCCAACAGCGGCCTCTTATCAGTCTAAATTAATAATGGATTCACATCGAGACCTGTCCTAAATAGTACAATGAAGCTATCGAAAAGGAGCTTCTCTTGAAAGGCAACCTATTGGTCCTGTGCATCGGACTAAATGTTTGTGGAACAGCTGATCTCCATATGAAAGCTCTAAGGGCTGTTTTTGTGAAAGGAACATAAGGCACTACAAGAGGAACACAATCGATTCACTTCTTAAGTGGATGACTACACAAGAAAAGGAAACATTTACATTTATTAATTTGGCAGACACTTTTATCCAAAGCGACTTACAGTTGAGGAATACAACAAGCGATGTATCATAAGATGGCAATAAACACGAGAAGTGCCCGTTATACAAGGTTTCAGACATCGATCAAAATAGCAAAAAGCTAGGACAGGAGGATAATAAGAGAACAGAAAAAGTGAAGGCGTAGATTTTTTAAAAAGTAATATTATTGGAGGCAGTTAGTTGTTCACATTAGAGATGAGTTTGTACATAAGCAGTAGGATATTTCTTAAAGGAATAGTTCACACAAAAAAGAAAATGCCGTCATCATTTACTCACACTCACAATGTTTCAAACCTGTATGACTTTCTTTATACCGTGGAACATCAAAAGAGATGTTTAGAAGAATGCTCATGCTGCTTTTGTCCACACAATGAAACTGAATTGTGAGAAAGGTCTGTCAAGCTCCAGAAATGACAAAAAACAGCTTGAATTTCAGTCTGTTCAACACACAAAGCTATAATATGGCTTCAGATGATTCAGAATAGTGTACTGGTCAGCCTCTGGTCACCATTCACTTTCACTTTATGGAAAACAGCAACATTAACCTACGCTTCTCCTTTTACGTTCCATAGAAGAGAGAAAATCATGTTTAAAATGAAGTGAGGATG